AAGGAAAAAATTACTGAAGAACCAGCTATCTATAAGTAATATCAAGCTTGCTCAATCGATATACATATGTGTGGTATAGGAATCTGGTATTTTTTTTTTAATCAAACTCAAATTTTCTCACTGTACTAGGTTGAAGTTTTAATAAATCGTTCTAACTTATGCGCTGTATTGACTTCTCTTGGTATAATGAGAACATTCTAGTTGTTGTTCCTGGACTCCACTGATATTCGATTTTTTTTTTTGTTTTGCTACAATGATTCTACAATAGATGTGGAATTAGTTACCTGGCCTTGGTTCTAGTACTGCTGGAAGGACTGTGTCATAATTGTTTGTAAGCTTCGAGGCCTGCTTATGTAAGACCTGTTTCTATGAAGTAATGTTCGAATGTAAAAATATCGCACTAATTGATAAGATACTTTTTCTGATTGTTTTCTTTCATTTTTGTATAAAACGTTATGTTTACAATTGTTATAAAAACAAAGTACCGCTTATTTAAAAACAAAAAATTAGATTGATATAAGTGGAACAAAATAAAATACTTACCTATTTTCATGATGAAATTCCTACGTTGCCTTGGTACATACATAACATATTGTACAACACACAAACGTTTATTTTGACAATCATAAAAACAAGGCGCTTGTTTGTTCTTGCCTTGTTAGTTTTTTATGAATGTCTTTTAGATTTTTATGAATGTCTTTTAGCTTTTTATGACGTTGTTTATACATTTTTGATGTACGATAGATATGCGGTCACGTAGGCGTCTAGAAGGAGAGCCAAAACACAGTGTTATTTTTTGTTATTTTTTTGGCATATATGGATTTTCAATTTTTTTTTTTTGTTATTGCCTGAATATCTCCGTTTTTTATCTGACAATTTTTTCCATCAATTTTATTTAGACATGTGTATTAACACTATTTTTCTGCTAAAAGTCTGTGTATATGTGTATCCATAGGTGCGAATGTTTAACATTAATTGTTTGTGCTAATTGTTTTGCGGTTTCGCATAGTTTAATGTTTGCCATTTTGTTGAACTTGCTTCGCGGTTTTGGTTTTTTTATTTCATTTTATATATTTTCTTATTTTTTCTTTCCACATTCGCTTAAATGTAATTTGTTTATACATATGTATGTCCAGAAGTTTGATACACGTCGGGCACGTGACGAGAATATCTTATTCCCGCTTTGGTAGGTGTGCTTATTGAAGAACTTTGTTAATTTTTTTTTTCAATTTTCAATACAATTTGTGGCCTTGTTCCGATTTAGACAAACACACTGCTGTTTATCAAAGTAATATGCAAGTCGAATTTGTGGGTGCTGATTAGTTAATCGCAGACGATTGTTTGATATTTCTAACTGCTTTTGGCATAATTTCGCTTAACATGAAACTTCATTGAATCAGAATATACATATATTCATACATATGTACATATATATATCAACATTTTCAGTTCCATTTATTTCGAATTTCTTCATTCAATCGTCAGAACGTCGACCGTAGCATCTTATAAAGTGCAATAGCTCGGAGAATTATTTCAAACTTTCGTGAAAATTTCCAATGGAATTTTACTTAGTCTTGTAACGATAGGTTTGTAACGATAACAATTCAGTATCAGTCTCATATTTTCCATGCGGATTCTAAAACGTTTCGTTTTTAACCTAAGTATTTTATATATACGTATTTCACATAACTCCTGAATGAAAAAAAAGAAAGTAAAAAATTACGCTATTGACCATTGAGATAGCGAGTGTTCCGGGTATTACAACAAGTCCACACTCCAGTAGATATGGAAAAGCTCGAAATTCGCTCTTTGATTTGCTGATACTTCTAAAGCTTTTTAAGAACACCAACGATTCCTTGCTTTTCTTGATCCAGTCACAGCCGTAGCTGAACTTCTTTTTCAATAGTTAATTCTTTTCAACCTATAATAAACAAATATGGCTTTCTCTCTTTCCTCGTGTTTGAGATTGCTGATGAATAATATCAGAATGGTTACAATTAAGGAAGATCGAAGGTGAACGGGGTAAAGATTGGGACTTATTGTACTGATCACCTACACTTGTAGTATTGCGTCTGCTTTGGCATCTGAATTCTAACGAAGCATCTTCTTTAGCGACCTACATACATATGTACAAATGTATGTATGTATGTACTTAACTTGTTGTTATTGATTTCAGATTAAAACTTTTGCTATTCTTCTCCACTTCAATTATTTATACTTGTGTACATAGTATGTAAGTGTGCTGCTGCTATTAAACACGTGACTTTATATCGGAGCTATCAGTTGTTCAGCTTACGATTTCTTAGAAACCTGTTGCATTCTCGTTTGTCGCTACTTCGCTTACATCGCTTCATCTCGCATGTTCTTTCTCCCGCTGAACATTTGTTCGCCATTCTTCTCCGTTTGCGTTTGCGTTTGCATTATTCCTTATTCGTTCAACGTTTTTTGCGCATACATACGTCGAAACATGCATATGTATGTATGTATTTAAATCTTCTTCACGGTTCGGGTTCTTCCAGTTCGCACTGGGTACATATGTATAGAAGCTTACTAATGGTTAGGGTATGTTCATCGCCAGCTTATGACGTAATTGATACACAAATAACAGCATGTTGCCATATTTTGACCACCACTGGATGTTGACATACTTACAAATTTCTTAATATATCATATGTATGTATTGTATGTATGTATGTGTACTTCTTTATTTAAAGTGAATGGAAAGTATGTTGAAATATAATAAATAGAAAAATGGGATTGACAGAATAATTTTCATTTCGGAAAATTTCCGCCTTCATCTTTCAATTTTTTCCACAAACTCACTGTGTTCGGCACATATTGCGGCTTTTATCTTTCAAGACTATAATTTGTTTGCCAAATTATTTTTCTCTTTTGGACATTTCTTTTGCACTCTTCTACGCCATCAAATATTTTACAAAATTTGCTTGTCAATCCCCTTTAATCAACAATTTTGAAATTTCAGCTAGACATGTTAATACAAAGCTTGATAAATTTAGGGTTATTCACTTAATTGGGCAAAAGTTGATTATATTATACATACATACATATGTGCATATGTAATATATAATATATGACTTTATTTATTTAATGAAAGGTCGTCAAAGTTTTCTGTTCGCATGACTTCGAAAAATGGGGCTATGTTATTAATTTTTTTTACCCCCGATATATTATTACAAGAAAATCAAAATGTTTAGGTATACAGAAATGTTGTTGTTGTCGCTGTGGCCAAAAAGCATTTTTCAAATAGTTCAGGAATTGCAGCTGAGTTGACAGTTTTTATCCGGATATACATATGTATGTATGTACATATCTACATTTATTCAAGTTCATCTAGCTTACGAAGGGCTGTCCTGACTTTCATGGGAATGGAATACAGAAATAGCAGTTTTGCTTACCCGGCATCAAAAACGTATAACGCTATTGTTGAAAATTTTGCAATTTATATCAGAATATCCTTATTTTTTATATCAACCTAGTATCTGTTAGTTTTTAATTCACACTTCATAACTGACATTTTACAAAAATATACTGGCTACTTCTGTGCTCGCTATGTTTGTGCTTTGCTCTCTTGTCAAAAAATCTACATGTGAAAACAGTAACAAACTTATCCAGTTGAATGCAATATAATATAAGTGAATATGAATCTTCATTAAAATAGCATAATCTCATTTTAATCTCTCTCTATTTGGTTATGCCAGTCGATATGATTTATACCAGTTGTTTGAAACACCAACCAACACCAAGTTAGGATTAGCCTCGGGTTAAGAAATTTGGTTACTTCTTTCTTTATGTTTCTCTGCTTTGAGAGGGTTGCTTAAGATTTAAACTGTTAAATTTGTTATACATTTTTTTTTTTAAATTTAGTAAAAATTATTTTGATATCTGCCTAATTGATTCCAAATATTTTAATTTCACTTAAAATGTTATGAAAACCATTAGTCTTTGGTCACCGTCATATAATAATATGAGTGTGACAAAGAGTGGGTAACGTTTGAACGCGGGTCCGCTGCAAGATTCTACAGTTGAATAAGTAGCGCCAAACGTTCGATTAAGCTATAATGTTTCCCAGATCTTCTTCAACGTTTTTTAATACTCTTTTGATCTGGTTACATTTTATAGCTCTAGCAAAACCTAAAAATTTGGAGGTTTTCGTAGCCGGCTTCAAATAATTTCAAAATAAGGGTTTACAATTGAAAGTTGTATATAAGTTTTGAAAAGCATATTCAGTTGAATGGAGTAAAAGTTGGAAGAACCGAACCTCAAGCTATTAACGATTACATCTAAAAACTCTCCTACAAAGATTCAATGTACCTGTAGGAATATATTTTTTAGTGTGACAATTTCCATATCCTGAAGAAACGCAATTAAACTATTTTCTTTTCTTTTAGAATTTTTACTATGTTTTGTTTGTATATTTATTTATTTTTTTGCTGTTGCTTAACCACCATTTATGGTTTATTTTCACTCCCGAAAATTCGACGTCAGCATTATCGTTGTAATGCAGTCTCCTGTGGTGCGTTATCATTATCCCTTTTTGTTTTCACGCCGTTCCTTTGCATTCGCCTTTATTGACTTACGTACACAAATTAATTGATAGAACTCGATTTAGGCCACTACGTGTGGCTTCCACTGGCCAAAATTCATTGCGGCTAATTAACTTTGTGTCAACAATTGACTGACTACTACTTATGCAATTATAAGGGGTTTGGTAGTGCTAAAATAAATTTATATTGTCTGTGTACATGCATACATACATACATGTACCATATGTATACGAACATAAATATGTATATATTGGTTTTTATTTTGCCAAATATAGACAGCGCACAAAAAAGTTGGTAGTCAGTGCTACTGGCGCTGCTGAGTGTAACAGTTGCTTTTTATTCTGACACAAAGTAGAAGAGAATAGAGACAGTTTATCTTCTTTTATGCAAAAAACACCAAGAATACATACTCACAAACGGCATGTACACTTTCAGGAACAAGATGGACGCTTGCCTGGTTCGCGACCCTCCAGCGCGCCGGCGGAACCCAATGCCAAAGCGGCACGAAAGGCTTCCAAAAAGATGGAGAAAGAGGCGCGGTGAGTTTGCTACGAAAATTATATGAAATAAATACATATGTAGGTATTTCAAAATGTTCAATTTTAAATTACTTTCCTTTAACTCCATTAGGCGGCAAGAAAAGGAAGCCAGTCGACGCGAAAAGGAGGCGCGCAAGTTGGAGCGCGAAACGGCGCGACGTCAAGAACGCGAAGCAGCCAAATTGGAGAAGCTCAATCGCAATATGGAGAAAATATCGCGCAGTACAGAGCGTGTTGGTTCCTCGACGCGCTCCGGCTCGTTAGAGCGACGTCGCAGCGGCGAAGACTCGCCCGTGCTCAACCAGTCGACCGTGCACGGTATCGCCAGTCCGAATCGACGTCCCACCATCTTCGATGTGTTTCGACAGCGCGCTAAATCCGATGCTAAGCGCAAAGATTCGCTGCTTTTGGCCGCTGGCAGTGGCGGTGTCGCTGCTGCACCCGGCACAGACAACAGCAGCTCGAGTAGCACACACTCTGGCACTGGCGGCGGCGGCGGTGGCGGCGGCGGCATAATGAATCAAATGAAGGTGGTCATGCAGAATTCAGGGCTAATTGGTCATCATCATCATGATAAGCGTCAACATCCGGCTGTTACGATAACCGCTGCCGAGGGTGGCAGTGCGAAGAATAAGTACAAAGATGGATCGGCGCATCCGCATCAAGGCAGTGATGCTCAGGTTAGTGTGGTCTTTAGAAATAGATGAAAGTGCGTTTTGGTGTAGTGGTTGAAAATGACAGTAGCTTTCATCTATAAATGTGCGTTTCCTAATATATAACCATTGTATTTAATTTTCTCACTGAAAATATCTTTAATATTTCCAAATTAGTATACAGAATCATGCGAAACAAATTTTTGCTTCGCCTTCGGCCACTCTTTGATCTGTTCCTCAACCACCTCAAAGCGTAAACATGCTAATTAACATTTAATTATTGCTTTATTGCAACTCATTTTGTTAAATGTTCTTAATTAAATAAATTCTTCGCTCTCTACATTGTTTACAGTACTATCACACCGTTACAGCGGTACGTCGCGCTGACGCGTCCCGCTCACCTATGACCAAAGTGATGGATTTGTTTAGGAGCCGTTCAAATTCAGCGGCCACCGAGGCGGATAAACGCAAAGCGGTGAGTTTGGCATTAACTTTCGATTTTATATATGTCATAGTTTATATTCAACATGATTTTTGTATGGTGAAAAGTTTAGAAAGCTCTGCCAATTCAAAGAAGTGCTTTTTGACATATCTGGACTGAAGCTTCTTGTGGTGTGATAAGAAGGTGAAAAGCTTCAGACGTTGACATGATAATTGTATTGAGATATTACTATTGCCCGGCAGATGGTGCCAAAAGCACCTAGTTTTGTTTTGTAGTTATGAGGATGTACACTGGAAAATATAAGAGTTGCATTTTGAAACAAAAAAAAATTAAAATAACAATTTTTTTTGGTAAAATTTCAAATTTATTAATGTTTTAAATCACGTGTACCATGAAATTTTAAAATTCCCAGCGTTTAAGAGCTAGTAATACTAGTAGCGTCTTTGTCTAATTTATACCAATGAGGCCGGTTCAATACTTCTCAATATGGCATACCACAAGCCAACTTTCTTATTTTGAATTTGAATTATTGAATCTACTTATTTGCCGAGCATTTTTTACTGAAGCGGTGCAAGTTATATCATCGATTGTATATCAAAATTTCTTGTTCAGATGTTTATAGGAAGGAATGAAGCCACCTTTTACATTGACCTTGACTAATTAGCACAACTACAGCTCAAAAACGCACTTAATTCTTATTTTCATATGTGTAATTTTTAATTTAATTGCATATTTCAATAAAAGGAAAAAATTATCATCAAAAGAAATCGAAAATACCAATAACAACATCATTTCACTCTACAAATCAGCTACTCTTAACACCAATGCGCCTTCACAGCTTTTTTGCATCTAAAAATTCCAACAACAATTATGTGCATAGGCCATTATGTACGCATAAATGTTTGCTTGAAAAAGTAGAAAGTCGGTGTAATTCCTTATATGTAAGTAGAAAACGTCCACACACACACATGTGCAGCAGCAAGTACGCACAGCCACTCATAATCATCAATCAAAATTAAGCAAAAATTTGAATTGGTAATGAGTAATAATTGCCATACGCAGAAAATACATATTTATCGTAATCAAGCACAACAAAAAAAAGAAAAATAAAAAACAGGTTGCGAATGTTACTGGTGTACGCCAGTTTGCTTATTGTTAATGAAAGTGAAAAAGGTTTCGAAAAAAAATCTGATCTCAATCGATTAGTGCTCGATTGTTTCTTAGCTGTCTTGGAACTGCTATCCTAGTAGCCTTTTTGCACATTTTGGTACAAAAAATTATTCATTACCTCTGAAATACTCGTAATCGTCCCGAATGAACCTAAAATCGATCTGTACAAGTTATACATCTGTATTCTTTCAATACAGCCTATCGGCTTTAGACTGCCAATAGAGAATAAAAAGCTAAGCAAAGCAATCATTCTTGGCTGACTTAAAAAAAAAAACACACCAAACCTCAATGTCGGTGATGCCCTTTGAATAACTGTTTATCTCTAAAAGGCTGGCCATATGTGAGTCCAACATAATTTGTTTAGTATTTAGTATTGTATTAGGCAATTACTTTTTATTGATACAAGATTTTATTAAAATAGCACCTTTGTAAAGGAGGCCTAATAATACTTAATTAAAATCAGGACTTAACCTTAACACTTCGCCATATGCGGATAAAAATGTATATTCCTGTTTTTTCTGTTGTTGTTATTGTTGTAGCGGCAGAATTTTGCCGAGTTGACAGTACTTGGCCGGATAAAATCCGGAACTGTTCCGATTACGTACGATCCGACTGTTGTGAGAATGGTTTCCTGGTTTTTTATACTCTCGCAACCTGTATACCATTTAGCCCTTCCTTACTTGTTTTCTAATTGTTTTTGGTAATCTGAATATTTTCTCTATCAACTATTAAGGAAAAGTATATAATTGTTGCTGTGTAATAAAAATATCTCCATTTGTAAATAAAATTACTTTACTGTTCGAAAATATAATATAACTGGTTGTCGTACAATTATTTCTAGTTTAACTGTTAACTGTCCTAGGGTGTCATAATTTTTTCTATTTACAAAAAATATTTAGATGCCAGGGTTGTACTCTAATCTTTAGAGATTTACTTTATACTCAGCATTATTTTGCTCCTGCGAATTAACTTGGTCGATTAGTTATATAAAACATGAAAATTATGATATTTATCGATTATTAGTTAATCGATAATTTGTAGAAATAACTCATACTCATATATCGTTCGACCTTCAATATTTAGATATGGAATTTACGAAGCTTAAAAGCTTTACTTACCACATAAGTAAAACAAATATATACTCGAAATAAGAGCGATTCTAATACCAAAATTTAGGAAATTCTACCCTATAAAATTATTAAATTTGAGGTTATCATCATTTTGAAAGACCTTTCCAGTTAAAATTTAATTTTATAGTGGCACGAAATAGGAAAAAGTTTAACGGGATTAAATTGAATTTGGATAAAATTTTGGTTCAAATAAATACATATAACGCTCATGGGAGATCTGCCGGTTTATTGAACTTGAAGCCTAGATAAACTTAAGTTTTTGTCGAAACTTCAGAAGACTACTAATTGTCATTTCCGCGCTGGTGCTTTTTTTTTTAACCAATTACCAGAGTGCTAAAGAGACCAAAAAGTGTGCCTCCTTACGCTCATTTTCTCTTTCGCTAAACTTAAAAAAGAAACAATCATAATTGTAAATAAATGTTTATGCAATTCTTTGCCGTCTATTAAAGACGAAAGCTTAAAAATATAAACAAAGAACTTTAAACAAACACACAGCTGTTCGACAACGATCACTACTCACGCACTTTGAACTTGAAAGCTCACTGCGCTCTCTCTCATAACATTGTTATTTATGTGACACTCTTTTGGCTTGCTCTCTGCTGCATAATTTTTGCGTTCATTCGCCATATTTCCCAAACATCCGGTTCCATTTGGCTTGCTTTCTCCTTTTCTTGCCTTCTATCCAGTCAGCTGCATTTTGCTACCTCTGTTTGTTTATGTTTGTTTTCTATTTGTGTGTGTGTGTGTAGATGTGCGCATTTCCTTTTCTGTATTGTAAGCTCTTTATTGCTAGTTTTTTGCGTTGGACTATTCGGTTGCGATCGGTTGCTTGCAAGCTGATAGCCACACTTGTCACTGTCAGTCCGCAAGGGTTTAGCGCAAATTCAAACGTCTCGCGCATATTGTCGCAATCAAACGCTCGAGTTATACACGCGCACGCCAACTAATATTTACTCTACTCATACTTTACCCGTTTTTTCGTGATTTATTCGTGTTGACGCTTATGTTCACACATACATATGTATAACTGTATTATGCTATTTTATATGTGACGGGTTTAGAGCGAAAAAAAGAACAACAGAAATATTTTGAAAAAATATAATATATGTAAATATATAAAATTGCTATTAAAAATTTTAATGATTAATTATAAAAAATGATAATAATAAATATTTGTAAACAAAATGCGCTTGAAAGGTGTTTATTTGAGTGAGCAAACATGCTTGTCTACATCTAAAGCAGGGTGTGTGTGTTAGCACAGAAATTTTAGAAAAAAAAAATATTTTTATTTATTAAAGGAGTGTGTGTAAGCTATATAAAAAAGGCTTGTTTTTTAAATTAAAGAAAGGTGTGCGTTTTCAAATAAATGTTGTAGCAACTTCGATTAATATTTTTAACAAAAAATTTACTCAAGATTTTCAATCTATAAAGGAGTGCTGGAAAACAACACAATCGAAAAAATATGTGAAATGTGCACCTTCAGTGTTTACTTAAACTGTTGATTATTGATAGTGTTCAAACAAAGCGAGAGAAGTGATTAAATTTATTTACACGCCTAGATGTATACATAAATACATATATTATATGTGGATAATTAGCACAATTCTTATCACACCAATCATAATATTTTGATTTACGCTACAAGTTTAATAGTTACAAAGCACCTTTTGTGCCGTGAAAAGATTGTTAGGTGTCAGTTTGACATTGCACATTGTATATTGTATATCCATTAGGTTGGGTCAAAAACCGAAAATTTTTTTTTGCTTCCTACTCTGAATAAATGGTTGATAGACACCTCTAAGAAATGCTTGCCAAGTATGCGCTCTAAATTGTAACGGGATTCTTCGTCTAACGGTTTTCATAGTTTTCTAATTATCAGAAAAATGCTTCCAACTACTTGAAAACAAATTTTTGTTTAGTTCGTAGGAAATTGAGTGCTCTACAAAATGGTCTTTCACGGTTTTTCGTAAATATAACCGTTTAAAAGTTGTTAACGATTGAAGTTTGACTATTTTAAGCCAAATTTGTGTTTTGACCCACCCTAATAAACATGTATGCATATGTAGCTGTAAATTTTTTATGAAAAAGTTACGTTTCAATTTTTGTGTGTAAAATTAATTCAAATGTCGTTTTATTGAAAATTACTCGGCAAGCAAAACCTGTACTGGCGTATTGACTACGTTCCAATAGTTGAAATAAAATATTTATTTTTTTTCAATAAATGATGAATATTGGTGTTGTGTTGAAAATAAAGAAGACATAAGTGCAAATAACAGCTATGTGTACAAGTTTATGAAAAAATATATACTTTTTTCTAAAAAAAAATTTTATATATACATTAAAAATTGTGAAGTCCTACTTTTGGAAAAATAAAAAAATACGAATTTTCTTTATCAAAATTCATTGAGCTCATATGTGGGTTTTACCAACCACCAGACCAAAATTACTAGCTACCTAAAAGCAAAAAAATAAAAATAAAATAAAACAACTCATAAAAATTTCGGTTCAATAAGACCCAGTGCCATTACCAATGGGTTAAAATTAAAATTTTTTTTTCTGTATAATCATGTTATTATAAAACAAATTAAAAGAATATTGAAAACACGTAAAGAAGCTTACATTTTTAAAGTTAAATGTTTATATAACGTGTAGGGGATAGCAATTGTTCAAATATTTTATAAAGCTGAAAAAAAATCCTTTTTATATTTGTTGAATTTCCGAAACCCAATTCAT